CACAACAGTCTATAGAGTATCGGAAGCGAAACGCTGTAACATATTTCATTTTCAGCATCAACGAGGCAAAAGTTTTTCAATCACCCGGAGACGCATCTCCACCTGCCCCACCCGCGCCGCCAGCATCCTTTTGCCAGAGACCCGACACTCCGGCCACAAAGTGTGTCATCAGACGGCGTTTGTTGCATAACTTTTATTGAACTGTCGCAACTAGTGAAGAAGCGGAGGTAGGTGGGGAGCGGCTGTGGAGGGGTCAAGGGGTTGGCGGAGGTGGCAAGTCAAAAGCCGCAGACATTTGTATAAATTATTACAGTCGCATGCATCTCACGATAGGGGGTGTGTGTGTATGTGTATATATGTGTTGACTATTTGGCCTCGCCTCACTTCATTGAACCGCGAAGCGATATGCATTTATGATTGCATGTGACATTTGCATGCAGCACAAACCCCTTCGCCCTCTCTCTGCTCTATCTCGCTCTCTCTCTATCTCCCTATCCGCCTCGCCTTTGAACTTGCGCAACAGCTGACGCTATTCCCGAGGGCGTGAAAAATGTTTCGCATTTCTTTTAGCAATCGCAGCCAAGTTGTTTCCAGCAGCTCTTTGCTTTGGCATTTGCACGACACAATCATTAAATAGCCATGGCCAAGTGCTGACAGCAACAACACCAGCAACAACAACAACAGCAACAACAAATTACAAGCGCACATTGTCAACGTTGCACTTTAGGGGACATAAATTTCATGTACATGGCCCGCGCAAACTACACAGGGCAGAAATAAAATTAAAGAAAACTTGCTCAAGTGCCCTAGTTGAGTGGGCGTGACTAGAAGATACCATAGAATGCCTCAGTATAGAGCTGAGAATGCTCTAAATGATTATCTGTATTAAATCTATCTCTGGCCCTCTCTTTAATAGAAACATTTAAGGAACTCAATGCATGCTATGCTCTCTGAATACCATGTACCATATGCATGTAATGTTATGCTGTCAGTAGCTAATTGTATACACTTTAGTTCACATGCTGCATCAGGCCGTTCGTCTTTCTCGGTTTATTATATTACTAACTATCGAACTATTGTCAATATACCCTTCTCGGTACATTAGTAATGGGTAAAGGATTTTATAAAAAGAGGCCCACAGTAGCCATGAGGTGTCAATGTACAATTGCAGCAACAACTGCAACAACAACAACAACAGCAACAAGGTGCTGGCAACACAAAGACGCATTCGTTGTTGCTGCTGCTGATATTGTTGTGGCATGCCAAATGCGGAGACGTCGCCAGGCAGCCGCCTGACAATGCTCGTCCTTCGCCCTCACTCGCTGCTGGGCCCAGCTGCAGCAACAGCAACAGCAACAGCAGCAGCAGCAGCAATTGCTGCACGATGTACCGATTTGGAGAGCCATTTCTGCTGTTCTGTTGACACACGCGGCGTATGAGTAACGTCTTGGAATGTTGCCGCCGCGTCAATGCTGTCGTGTCCGCCGTCGTCGCATTCCGTAATTACGCAGCATTAGCACAACAAATCGAGCGAACAGCATTGCATTTAATTAGTGGCATTGACAGAGTAGGTGAAGGGGCAGCAGCAGCAGCAGATGCCACAGCTGTAATCCAACTGCCACTGCCACTACAACCGGGAGCGAACATGTCAAGCTGAATTGTTCGCATAATTCATAATTGAATTGAAATCGCGTCTTGCGTGAAGGCTACATAAATTTCAACATTGCTCATGCCACTGCCACTCTGACAATGAGATTGATGAATGTTTACGCAAGCTTGATCAGGAATATTAATTGAAATTTAATAATGCTTAGGAGGAAGACGAATATTGTACACAGTATCAAGTGTAGAGCAAAATCTTGTTTGAATTGAAAGCTAATTTAATTAGCTAGAGCATGCAGACAACATTTTAAAGGCATTTTAAGTTCAAGTAGTTTGAGTAAATAAAATACTAGCCAATTGGAGTTCATAAATTTAAGGCGGAACCATTTGGCTTTACACTTCTCGTTGTTGTAGTTTTTGTAGTTGTTGCTGTCTCATTGTTGAGGACAGTGCTGGGCGCTTTATTCTTGTCGCTGCTCGTCGCTGATGTCAAGCCAAAAGCGGTGCACATTTAAAGTCTCATTGTTGCTATTGTTGCTGCTGGAGCTTAGAGCTTGCAGCTTGCAGCCTGGAACTCTGGCCAGGGCGCGCCTACTTCTGTAATATGTTGCCTACAACATGCCACATGTCGGCACATGAAACTGGTCTGCGGATTGTCACGTCAACAGGCAGGCAGAGGGCCAGCCCAGGCCGGCTAGCTGGCATCCACACAAACAATCCCGGTTCCCACATAGAGCGTGGTCAATGATCGACTGGACCGTTAGTTATCGCCCAAGCAAACTCCGTTGGAAGCACTATGTATTTTATTACAGTGCTGCAGCAGCAGCGGCCACCCAGGCGGCAAATCTGAAGCCCAAAAGTTCAAAGACTGCTGACATTTTGTGTCGCTCTTGTTGTTGTTGTTGTTGTGTATTTTTTGTAGCACATGCAACAGCCGATTGATAAAAGCGCTTTAAGAGAGTCACATAGGGCACCATGTGTCGAATTGCCGATTGAATTTCAACAAATGCATAAAAGTCAGAAGAAAATATGAGCTCAACGAGAGCTGCAAATAAATAAGAGTATAGCCACTGAGAATAGTTGACTGGGAAATACCCTGTCCCAAAAAGTCAACATATTAATTTGAGCATACAAAACCACATAAAAGTGCAGTTAGTTGTCACAATTCATATAAGAGTTACAATTCAAATATTAGTTAATTTTATGAAAGGGAGAATGTCAGTCTCTATACTAGTAATATGTATACCCTTTGTGATGCACTTAAATGGGCAAAAGACACAAAAAAGGAAGCAACAGACAATAAGAAGACAAAAGTGCAGACATGAGACACGAGACACTTTCATATGGCAATCAAGCAGAGACAGCAGCGTCTTCACTCCATCCTAAAATATATTTCCAAGCGATTTAACAATGAATTTCGTAACAAAATCCTATGGCAAATAGAAATAAAAGTGCCCGCCAAAGACAAAACCTGGACGGGATCAGACAGACAGAGATACAGACAGCCCAACAGGCAGACCAGACCGTCTTTATAGAGTTAGCTTGACAGCAGCTCTCACATAATATCAATTTCAATAAACTAACAAGCAAATGTATGTGTGCTTATGTGTGTGTCCGTGTTTATGTGTGTACTTATAGACGAGAGCGCAGAGTAGCATATAGTAGCTGAGCACTGAGGATGTGGCGGCACTTATAACATTGTGGAAGTTGAAGCTGGAACAAACTGCTGTTTGTTTGCCTTTGTATGCTCAAATGTAAATTTTAATTTGATCAAATGACACGCTGAAAGCAGTGAAAAACAATAAAAAGAGGCCACGTTGGGATTAAGTTACCAATAAACAGAGGATGAAGAAGAAAGTGAAATATATAAGAATGCTAAGGTTATAAGAAACAGAATTAGATAATAGAGAGCACTTCTCGTTTTAATTGCTGACAATAGTAGCTTGAACTCAGTCAGTCAATCATCCAGTCAATCAATTCATAAAACAATCTTAGAAATGTGGAACGCTGTTGTGAGTATATGTATATATGTATATGTCTCTTGGTTTTAACACAGTCTAGTTCCATGTACATTTTGGACAGAGCAGCAAAAGACGCACAAAAGCGTGCTATGAAATTTGTCACTTGGAAATGCAGTTGCTGTTGTTATTGTTGTTGTTGCAAGACATAGAGAACATTTTGATGCATTTCGTGTATGACAAGTTTAATGAACATGTTGGGCGTGTCCGCTGCAGCTAGAAATTGCAAAACAACAGTAATGTGAGATAAGCCAGTTGCCAGCTGTTGTTTGTTGCTGTCGTTGTTGTTGTGCTGCTGTGGTCGTTGTTGTTGTGCTGCTGTGATTGTTGCTGTTGTCACTGCTGACATTCTGCAACTTGTGCAAAAGCAACGTTTACATCAAGTGCCAAAATGTCAGCACATTTGTGTCCCATTGTCTTCGCCGACGTTGTCGTTAGTTAAATTAATGCACAGCCAACATGGCGTATACTTGTTAAGTTCAGAACAGCAGCAGCAAGGAGAAATCAGCGTCAATCGTATTTGCATAGCTTAAACTCAACTTGAGCTGCAACATTCTTTAATGCAAGCTGGAGTGCTCGGCATTTTCTTCAGTTTTCATCATTAATGTAGCTTATAAAATAAGCTTATAACAGTGATTTTCATGAATGCAGCTTCTCCTACCTCGACTGCTGTATTAGCAACAAAAACTGACAACAATTTAATAAGCAAATTTAAGTCGAGCACTCTATGCTCAACTGGCTTCGGGCCCTTTACAACTTCTACTTCCACTTTTTGCAAATGTTGTGTTGTAACCTAAAGCCAGCAGCCTTTTGTGCCTTTTCATTGTTGCTGCAAAGTGTGGCAAGAATATAGACTATGGCACAATAAGCAGCTGGCGGGTGTGCCATAGCCTTAACCCAATTTGCAACAGCTACGCCAAAAGAGCAAAGAAGGCGCTACGCCAGCTTTAAAATTAATATGCTGAAAATCTGGAAACGATTTGCAACTAATAGGCAAAGGCTTAAAATTGCATTAAAACTTTTACAAACTGTCTGGGTATGTGTGAGTGTGTGTGAAAATTCAATAAGCTGAAAGTTGTGGGCAAAAAAGTTTTGCAGTCTTTAAGCCCACACAACTTGAGTCACTCTTAAAGCAAAAGTTTAAAAAGGCAACAGCACCACAAAAAGGCGCAAAATACGTCTGAGAGCGACAGAGACAAAGAAAGAGAGAGAGAGAGAGAGATAGAATGATAGAGAGAAATTCCAAGCATTGAGCAAGTCAAGAAATCATAAGTATTAACATAAACCCAAAGTGACCAATGCGGTGCTAACTTTTAGTTTTTGGGCCAGATAAGTTTTCTTTTTAACAAGCTTTCAACTTGGCTCTTAACTCTTTCGCAGATGCTGTAGCTGGACACCCACGGCCATGCAGGATATACGACTACGTCTGGAGCCGCAACATAATACAGCCGCGTTCACCAACTCACCAGCAGAGGCAACATCTTCGGCCGCAACTCTGGTCAATGCGGAGGCAGCGCTCATTGAGACTGGCGAAAGGAAAGGTTCTGCGGAAGGCTCGCCGCTAGTTCAGCTGCTACCTGAGCTAAGTTTCAGGTAAATCACAGCAGCGCTGAAGTGTGCCACAGCCAGTAAAGCTTCTCTTACAGCGCACCCACAGCGAACAGCACAGTTCATTATTATCAACATCAACATCAACATCARCCTCACTCCCATCAGCATCCTCATCAGCATTCGCATTCCCGTTCCCACTCGCATTCGCATTCGCATCCTGTGCAGCCACGTGCCACGCCCCGGCATCAGGTGGAGGAGCTGCAGCTGCTGCACAGCCATCACACAGCGCACAGCCCACACAATGGCCAAGAGCTGGGCGAACAGCAGATGCCACGTTCACCCAGCTCCGAGGAGGACAATTCCCCAACTGAAATGAATAATTGTCGTCGTTTGGTTGATAAACCGCCTCTGGTGAGCATGCTCTCGATTTTTGTATGACGTTGCAGGATAACAGCTGCAATAGGAATTCTATTTTCAATGATGCTTAAATTTGACTATTAGCCTAATGAGTTCTGGAGCAGAAACGATGGAATAACACACATAAAATGTCATGAAGTTCAGTCAAACTAACTGAATCTTAAAGTGTTGCCTGGTACGCTCCAGTCCTTGCATAATTTTTGCATAATTTGTATTAGTCCTGGCGAAATTGATAAGTCTGCCAAAATTGATCAATTTTATTGGTTTACTTAGCAGAAATCGATTTAATTTGAATGCCAATGATGCTGCCAAGCGAAATAAAATGGCTAAAACTGGGAAAATTTTGCATACTTTCAGGAGTCATTAAATAAAGCCAAAGCTTTGACAAAGACAGCAAAAATAAGGAACAGAAGGCTGTTAAGGTACTATACTTGCATTGTACAAATTCAGCGCTTAAAATAAATATACCAAAAAAAAAACAAAAAAACGAACAGAAGAGAGAAGCTACAGAAATATTTTTAAAATATTTGTCAAAGACCAGGCCATTGTTCGGTAATCAATGTATCTGAAGCCATCAATCAATCCTGTCTCTTCTTCTAGAGCCAAATTCACGTTGCTTCACTGTAGCCTAGTTCAATTTACATTCAATCGACTTTAAAGTTTAAACCTATAAAACAAAAAAATAGTTTTAATAAAGGCTTTAACAGGCAAACAAATTGGCAGCACTCGAAAATCAAATGCAATTTAGTAAAGCACTTCCAACAGCTTGGAACGATGGCATACTCTAAAAATGTTTGCCACTAAACAAGACCGAAAAGCGTTCATTAAATTAATTTGCAAAAATGCAAATTTGCAGCTAACGGCACTTTGGCACGCGCCGCCAGCAATTCCAGCAGCAACAACAACTGGAAAGCTGAAGTGCAAAGCGCCATTTTCTGCTGCTTTTCCTCACCCACACACGCTCGCCAGGGGAGTGCAGGTGGGAGTGAGATGGCAAGTGTGTAAGTGCGTGTGAGTGTGTGGGAAATGAAAAACTTGCAGCAGGCATGCCAGGCGAATGGCAGCCAAATGCCGTTAACTTAGTGACTTTATGACACATAAATCGCTGCAACAATGCCAACAAAATCCTGGCGCTGGCATTACGTGTCCTGCTTTCTACACACACCTACACACGAATATACATACAGCTATATATCTATAGGCCTACAGCTGACAGCTGCAGCTGCAGCTGGAGCTGCAGCGAGGCAAAAGTTTTCTGCCAACTAAGCGACAGCCAAAGGGCGGAGAGTCACTAGGGAGATAGACAAAAGGTGGAGAGAAAGGACCAAATCAAATGCCGGCACAAACAACTTGGAATGCACTCACTGAGAGTGCTCCACTTGAAAATACCCTGTAGGAAAACATAAACAGGAGCAGTAGGCAAATGTAAAGTGCGCTGTAGCGCTAGCTACAGGGTATTGCAAAGCTGTACTTTGCCAAACGCTTGCAACTAAGGACACGCCCCCAGTCCGATTGTTCCATTGTTCCCATTATGCCTACCGTTTCTGGCTGCGCTCTGCAGCATCTTCGGCCTCTCTTTCTCTTTTCCTCTTCTCTTGTTTTCATCTCTGCTCGTTGTCGATTCTCCCAGTGCATTGCATTTTTTATATTTACGCCTTTTTCTAGCAGTTGTCAGCCGGATTTGTCGAGCATCGCCTGCCGACTGCCACTTGGGCGCATTGTCTTGTTGAGGATTTTGCATATTGCGAGAGTCTTTTCCAATGTCATTAGCATAATGGGGCCATTAGGTTGCCGCCCCACCCCCTCCGACCTACCCCTTGACACTGATTGCATGCTTAACGATAAAGCAGCTCTGACTGCCAATTCAATTAGCTGCAATTGCGAAATGATGCACAGCAGCAGCAAGAGTAGCTCTCTTAAAGCCGAAACGAGGGCATTCTATCTTAATTTGAAATCTTTTATCTTCAAGCAGCTCTAAAAAAGTATAGTGCTTGACTAGGGGACAACCTGCAAGGTTCTTTCTGCGAGTGCAAGTGTGGCAAGCAGCAATGCTGTATTAGCGGAAAAAGCAAGATCATAAAATCCACGCCAAGAACTCACTTACCGAGTTTTACCTTAATCAAAAATACACACTTCTTATATAAACATAAGAAATACTTATTACAAAGTCAACTTCTACAAAAGTCTCATTATGTTAACTATATAATAGCAACATTATTTCATTCATGAGTCTGATAAAGTGGACTTAGCTCGGCTTGGAGCTCATTGAGCTAAATGCCACATCAAAAGCGAATTTCGGTGGCTACATAAAATCAACATAATTATTGCAAATTAGGTAAATAACTTATAAAATGGGAATAGGGGGAATGGATCCGGGGAACGGGAAATGGTGAAACTGGGAAGAAGCCCGTCAACACTTGAGCGGAACTGTTTACTAATTGGAAACGCTTTAAATGCCGCCCTACAAGCAGGCAAAACTTTTTGCTTTAACTCATTTCAAAGTAATTTACCGCAGCCCCAAAAACCAAAGCAAACTTCTAGTTGGGGGTCGGCAGCTTGGCGAGAGGTGGCTTCAGTGGTCGAGACGGAGTGTGGCATGTGGGGTGTGGAAAGTAGGAACGACATAGCTAACATTTTATTAGTAACCAAAAATGTAACACATCAATTTTCAAGGCGTTTGCCTGCCAAGATACCCTGTAAGCACAGCAAGAGGAGGGTATCTTGCAAAGTTCTGAACATGTTATATGTGCCTACATAAATTTATGATCCATATGGATCCTAAAATTTGAAGAAGTAGTCCTATAAATTCTAGCTTATAGCCCGAGGTAAACTGTTTAACGTCGCCATCGTCTAGCAGCTTAATATTACTTTGTTTTAGTCCTCATCGACTAAAGTGATATCCTTGTTAGTGGCTTTGCGGCCAGACTCAGCGAAGTGAATTGCAATTATTGCGTGGCGTTGGGTTGGCTCGAAAAGTTTTCTCGTTGTTGGCCAAATTGGCAGCCAACACGAAGCCGAATCCCAGCCATGCAAAACTATTGAGGAACTCTGTCCCGATCTACTTTCAGGTGAAGCGCCTCACCATGGGCATTGGACTGCTGCGTGGCACTGAGGACAGCCGCCCCCTGGTCCACAACACGTGCTCCTCCTCCCTGAACTCGGGCTCATCGCAGACCATATCGGATGGCTATGTGAACGAGGCCATCTGCGAGCCGGACAAGTATGTGGCTAGCAAATTCGGCGACTCCTGTCGCCAGTCGCTGACGGCTCTGGAAACGGCCACACAGCGCTTACAGTCGGAGCTACCCAACAGCAAGAAATATTTGAGGGAAACAAGCAGCGGTAGGTATTGCAATAATTCTGATTAGCGATGTCTCCTGATCCCGACTGCTGATATTAACATATTGTTTCTATGTTCCCCGGGACTCAGCCAACTCCAGCCCGAAACTGTTTGCAGCGAGTTCCCCCTTGCGCCTGGACAACCTCAGCCTGGCCGAACAGCAGGAGCTGAAGGGCGCCGCCTGGTATCAGGCGGGTATACCCAGGGAGATCTCACTGGAGGTGCTATCCCGCCAGAGTCCAGGCGCATTCCTAGTGCGCCAAAGCAGCACCAAGCCGGGCTGCTTTGCATTATCCCTGCGTGTGCCACCACCCGCGCCACGCGTGGCACACTACCTGATACTGCGAACCCAGCGCGGCTATAAGATCAAGGTAGGCCAACAATCGATTGACTGCAGTTGCCAATCATGCAGGCCATAGATGAGACAGGAACCTTAAATTCGTAATTGCTCGCATCTCAACAAATAGAAAAGCAATATCGCTCTCTCCCTCCCTCACTCTAGCGCGCTCAGCTGCAGTCGAACAAATGCATCATAGAGTAAACAGGCTGTAGCTGTCTTGCTGCCTCCGTTGCTCTATTGCATTAAATATTTTTTTCTAACTGTTCTCTCTCTCTCTCTCTATCTATCTCTCAACAGGGCTTCACCAAGGAGTTTAGTTCGCTGCGAGCATTGATCACCCATCATTCGGTAATGCCAGAGCTGTTGCCCGTGCCGCTCACCCTGCCACGTCCCCCGCATATACGCGCCCACGCACAAACCTATGGCCACGGGAGCGGAAACGGAAATGGGGCTGGAGGGGACTTTGACATGTACGGATCGCTGAATGATTTTCGCAAAATGATGGCCGATTTGAATGTGTGACACAGCAGCAGGCATGATGCAAGCGGGAGCAGCTAATTAATTAATTATTGGCATATTGATTGAATTAAGCTCACAATCGGGAGTCTGGCGGTGCTGCTGTCGGGACAGGATGACAAACTGTTTAATTTGCCTAATTGGCTGTGCTGGCGGTTAACGTAGCGACCGAAAACACAAAAAAAAAAAAGCACAAGAAAATAGCCCAAAACCCAAACACAGAAAGAAAAAAAATCAGCGTCGTGAAAAATTATAATACAAAATCAATTGAACTGAGAGAGGAACGAAACAAAAAACAGCAAAGTATGCAACATGAACTCCCTATGAAGCAAAAATTCCAAAAGTCCAATGCTATTATTTTTCACATGAATATACACTGTCTTTCTGGGGAAAACGGGTATACGCGGTTGCATTAAAGTCTTTTTATATATACTAAATTCACAAATTTTCATATTGTTTAAAATTATACGATATATACCTTGAAGTGTAATCTAAGGTATAATAGTATAGATTGAAAGAATTATTCAAAGCTATTCTGATTTGATGTTCTAAATATATACACATATGTATGTGCATTCTCCATGATATAGCAATATATAGTATATGTTATATGCATTATATATCTATCCACTCCAGTGATTATCAAGATTGATTTGCCTAGACAAAACACAACACAAACATTTTGCTTCGCTTACAGTTTGAGAGCTACTGTTCTATGCTAACTGTTTTAGAGTTTGCGGACTCGCTACCCAATGTTTTTTATTTTTCATTTTGGACTCAGTTTAATTATTTTTAAATTAAAAGCTGAGCATTGTGCAGTTTGATATACGTATTATTGTGAGCTTTACACTTGTTTTTATTCTATTGAAGTGTAAGGCACTTTTTATGGCAGCTGCACCTGTCGCCACAAACACAATTCTGAAAACGATTGCAAATCAGATTAAATGTTAATGTATTTTGTATTATTTTTTGGAATGCGTTTGTATATTGCTTCCACCAGCTGCAAGTCTTCATTTAGTAGAAAAAAATTATACAAAACAAAAAAATTCTAGTTTTAGGAAAATCATTAGAAATATTTGATACAACTAATATAATTAAAAATTATATCTAAATGTATTTGGTGTAATATTAACGAACTAAGTAGCTAGGTTTATACAAATAATTATGCATATTATTGTTCGATATATGCTGTTTGTAATATGTGTAATAAATAATATAAAACATTGTGACGAATTTTTATTTTTAATATTAATGTCTCCCAAGACTAAAAACTTAAGAGAGAAATTAAAAAAAAAAATAAACCATTTTATAATATATATAATTTCTCACTACCCTAAATTATTATTTTTTGATTTGGATTAAGTTAACAATTTTTCAAATTTGGCACCAACTATGTCTAGAAACAGCTGACTAACGTGAGATACACCAGAGCAACAGCTGCTGTACACCCGCCCATCGATAATAATTGTGTCCCTATCGATTACAACTATCGCTTGCTTAACATTTGCAAATTCAGAAATATCTGTTAAAATAACAACAATGTTAAGCTTAACATAACAAAGTTAACCCCTGAACGAATCGGCAGCACGCGCTGTTATTACTGCTCGTTCGTTGCAAATTGTTTAAATAAAAAACTTAAATACACAAGCAGCGAGACGATTGCGCTCAGTGGAACGCCGGCTGCTCGAAAAGAGAGTTCCATATAAGCGCACGAAATCCGAAAAGTGTACCGCGTGCATTTTAAGACTGGCCAGCGTATAAAACAACACAAATAAAAAGTAAATGCCTACCAAACGTACTTAAGAAAAAAAAATGTAATTGAAAAATGAAAGAGTGCTAAAGTGTTGAGTGAGATTAACTGTGAACAGGAATTTTGTCTTCCTTTTTTGCCACATGTATTTTTATCGTATTTGTGTACTTTATCGATTACGTCGGCGCGCTCAGCATAAAATGAGAGAGAAGATAAAATGGGCGAGAAGATGACTGTGTGTGGCGAAGCGAGTGTTTGATCTCTTTTTTTTTTTGCCAGGGCAGCGGTGGTGGGACAACATAAACCACATACATATACAAGCGGAACACATGCACGCGCTTAAATATGCATGCGTGCATGTTTATAGGAAAACCTTAGCGGCAAAAAAATTTCACTAGAAATTTTGAAAGCGTTGGGCCGCGAAAAAAACCGGATATGATACTCTAAAGCTAAGCTTTCAAACGAAATGAAATGAAAAAAGTACCTGAGTGTAGTCGTATGAGTGAGTGTGAGTGTATGTATCTGTGGTGAGTGTGCGTTGTGCCTACGTATGTTTGTGAGCTTGTGTGCGTAGACAAACTGTCGCGTGTCTGGCATGCAATTAGCATTCAAATACGAGCATGCATATGTATACATATGTATATGTAGTCGTATACCCATATGTATATATGTCTTCCATACTATTAACTTTATTTTTCTTCCCGGCACCTGCCAACAGCGCCGTTCGTATATTATATATTTTTCGCGTTTCGTTTTGTTACACATGTTTTTTTTTTTCGACTGTAAGTTAGAGAAAATGAGTGAATTAGACTAACGCAGCCGCCAGACTGTCGCGTGCCTTACCTAAATGTGCCCCCTCCTATTAGCTCCTACTACTTTTAACATTAATGAGACAAGTGCATGGAAGCGACTGACGAAGGTGTGAAATGCGGAAGACAAAACAGAAGATGGTGAAGAAGAAGCATCAGCAGCCGCCATTCATGAATGGATTGCATTTACGCGCGCTTATGTATGTGTGTTCCAAGAGAGCGGCAGGCGCGCTCTCTCCTCTCAATGTTTATGCAAAATCAATGGACCCAACTGGAAGGTCACTCTCTGCAAGCCAAAAACTTATGCGCGCTTTCTATTTTTTAAATGCGGGTCAAAATTGTGATTACAAAATAACACCAAGAAAACTAAGATAAAAAAAAAAAAAGAATTAAAAAAAAAAAACGAAATAAAAATAAATAAATTGAAAAACAAAAAAAATTGTGCATGCGTGTGATTTTTGATAACCATTAGTAGAGTCTATAATCAATATCTCGTATTGTTTTTCTCTCTGTAGAAACCCGCCAACAGTCACACACACAAAGACCCACATATACATATACACAGAGTCTATCCCTTACTCAGAAAGTACACACCGGCAGCACAATGATCAACATGGACATCAGCGTTACGCCCAACTATTCGTATATCTTTGATTTCGAGAACGATTTCATACACCAGCGCACACGCAAATGGATGCTGGAGAACTGGACATGGGTCTTCTACTACTGCGGCATTTATATGCTCGTCATATTTGGGGGTCAGCATTTTATGCAAAATCGACCGAGGTAAGTTTATGTTTTATGGCACATGTCTATATAAAGTGTTAACTTGCTAAAGTAAGCAAATTAAGGCAATACGTTTACGATAAAAAAGGAATAATTTAGTGTGCCTTTAAAGTACATCCTTCCTGTAGTCAAGTCTGTTCATATTATATACCTATTATAATCTCTCGAGTTTTGTTTTTGACAGAGCGGATTGTATGTATCTTCAAGAAGAGCTTTCACTCTAGCATATTTAGTCTGTTTGAATTTCGCATGCGTTGCATAATTTGCTCGCTCTTCAACTCTCTGTCCCTCTCTTGCTCTTTATTATTAACTGCTTTTGACATTGGGCCAGCACTCTGTCCCAGACACATACATACATATGTCCGACAGTCTGTCGGAAACCATGAACCCTCTCCAGCAGCGTTATTCTCTTGCTTTTCTCACAAAAGAAAAACAGTTTGCGGCGCGTGTTATGTACCTCATTTTCTTATTGGAGCGCCCCACGCTCTGCACTTTCTCAGTTTGTCCAATAAGATTTAATATTCGTGGAATTCAGAAGACATTTCTAATGTCTGCTTGTTTCCATATTTAGTTTTTGGGGGACAAGCAAACTTTTGTTGTCTACAGAAAGCTTTAGAATATGGATTTGCTCCTTATCTGTGACACATAATCAAACTACCTAGAGCCAACAAATGTCGACCCGGCAACTTTAATATGAGCATTACTATTTGCATATTACTATTTCCGGGCTTAACTACTAAAACTTATTACTTATGGAACCAACTCAACACATTATTCAGAATATAACATAATATCATATTGTAGAGCCATTAGGCCTAATATCAACTAATTCAAGTACAATTAAATTCTAATTAAAGTTATTTTTTATGCATATATTGCTATATCTGCTACAATATGGGACTTTCATACAATTCCCGTACAGCTGCTACTCACATACTTATGCGTAATTATAATGTAGTACCTCCCGACTGGCTTACCATGTAAAATGTTCGCAATTCCGAATTTCCACCTGCGCCCGTGTTAATGTACGTAAATTATAGACCGCGGCACATGGAGTGTTACGCCCAGATAGGGTCACGTTACTTACCCAAAACAAACCTTGCTTAACTAATTCTTACAAAAACTAAACCCAATAACAAAACAAATTATCATTGTCAATTTGACCTGAAAAAATTGTTGCAATTTTTCCAAATTTTACAAAGTGCAATTGCAATAATATGACTTCGACTGCGATTATATAATTTTGACTGTCGAATCGTCAATTGTCGTTAAATATCTGAATTGACATTTGACATGCCAACCCATTAAGGGCACACGCTACATAGCCAGACAGCGACTATTTCAGAGCAAGGATTACTCATAACAAACTCTCCAAATGTAAACACGGAAACTTTTTACTGCGAAATGTAGATGTCTGTGATGCAAGCAGTTCCCGGAAATCTGCTGATAAACTTAAAACAGTTCTAGTTGTTGTAATTCGAATACAGTATATTGGTTTGTGCTATGTCCGTCTTGAAATTGATACATGCAAAAGACATGAAAAGTCTTTGCCAGTAATACTTACTGGCCCTTACTGGACCTTCTACTGAGCTATCTCAGGTGCATTGCAATACATTGTACGAAATTAATGATATTAAATCTACTGTATTTTAGTTATTTTGTTTTCCGTCCACTTCTTAGAAGTAGTTTAGTTTTGATCTATACTATACCACTGCTCTATCTGACTACTTCTATGCTACATGAAAAACTGAAAGACAAATGTGAAAAGTTTTCAATAACATCGTTTGTTGGCGACAGACAGACAGCTGCAATTCCGTTTGGCCTTCAATAAATTCGATTGCTTATCGCAAACGTTGTGATTTTTGCGAACGAGACTTTATTTTTAAAGACAACGTCGATTCTCTTACTAAATTGTTTCTATGTTTTGAGTGGTGATCTCTTTTTTTATGATGTCTTCTTATATAACGAGCATGTAGCATGTCCCACGCTTGAAACCTTAGCTCCCTCTCTCTCTCTCTTTCTCTCTCACTCAATCAATCTCTGTAAGATTGACCAACTTGATTTCGCCCAGGGCTTGGCTCATGCATACGCCTAGATTTGACAAATTTTTTATATATGTATGTATGTGTGCATACTATATTCCCTATTTGGTTTGCTTTACACTTGAAATCTTGTTTCAATATTTACCCACCTTGGACTTGGAACAGAAAGGTGCAAATGGAATAGGTTGCCACGGTGTTCAGCACGGATCGGTGATCTGCGTCAGTCAAATGGGCTTTACACAAAAGTAATACAAAATGCATTGAACACGCTTAATAAATCGCACTGAGATCATCTTTCGATATTTATTTTTATCTGCTAACTTAAACAACGATCTTTGGAACGCCCTTATAAGCTGTAAACTCTCCGGATTGCTATTGCAATTAACTGAAATATATAATATACATATACACTATACATATGCTTATATACGTTCATGTGGGTGTGTTATCAGTCCATGCTCGCGCCATGTGGAACGCGCTCTTATCAAATTCAGAATTCAGCACAATGTTGGGGCAAGAGAAACCCAATAATGAGAGGCAGAACAAGCCGCCTGTCGTAATTGTTTATGATATCATTTACCATGATTCACGTTTGGGTTCAACTATATAGTAATTCGATCGCACACACAACAACGGTAAATGGTACAGTGAGTGCGAGTTTCTTGAAATGAGAATCCATACTTTTAGACATAGTTTGTAGAGTTGTATTGGTTCGATTCCATTATTGGCTCATGCTACACGAAATGTGATTCTCTTTAAATTATACAAATTGTATCGATTTATAAATAAATATTAAATCAGTTTTTAGCATATAACAAATATAACAGATATATTTCATAAACTTGTTTTGTTTATCGTGTACACACTGTATTTTCACAGTCGTTTTCCACTTGGAACCTCAATTCAAAGTCATTTAAATGTGGCCCAGCTTTTTACCCAAATGTGACTGCAAATCACATACACACGCACGCAAACACTCCTACACATATATATATATGTAAGTTCAACCTGGTCCCTCGGCGACTCTGAGAAACATATCACAAGTGGGCCTGCCTCTGGCTGCGTAGACACAAAAGGCGCAGAGGGGCGCAGGACATTCAATTACCCCAAGGCAACATTTCTGCTTGCGTGCATTACACTAGCCAACAGAGAAGGCGAATTTTACATAAACAAAAAAGCACAAGGCTAAACAAAGCAAACACATTATAATTAAGAGGAATAACAAAAACCAAAAACAAGAATCTGAAGTGTGCAAATATTTTGTTGCTCAGTGTAGCTCGGCCTCGCCGCGTGTTGGTTCGTGTGCTGTTCGTATATAAAATAATGGGCTACAGAATCTACATCATATACGTTCTGCCCCTGTGTGTGTGGGCGCAAAACGTCACACACTGTGAGGGATGGCGAGAGAGAGAGGGAGAGAGATATGGCATAGTGAAGCCAAAGTTCTAGGTTTATAGCCATGTAGGGTAGAAGTATTAGGCACATGTCATAGAGGTAATACTTAGCCAAGTTTGTCAACAAATATTTGGCATTAGTTTTGAAGTCCGCCAATTCTATTAAACAACAATGAATTGCTTTATTACAGCGTAAACTTTAACATAACTGATGGAAAAAGAGAAGAGACAGTTTTTAGGCTGGCCCTTCAATGGAATTATCACAGTCAAGCGTGAGAAATGGGTGATTTCATACCATTTTCCCCAAGCTAATCTAAGTAAATTGCCTATGAATTTCCTAGAATAACCTTTAAACTAGGCAAAATATAGAAATGCTTAATTATACAGATTTAGACTCGTCAGATTCCTGACCTTTAAATATCATAGAATTAACTACTTTTTTTATATTTTATTTAGTTATTGCCTTTAGAGAATTGCTGAGTAAATATGGCTTCACAAACATCTTATAGTTGTGAGTGTGTGTGTGAAAATTACAGACGCCTGTCCAATAAATACTTCCACTCACTATAACCCTACCAAATCAAACGGTAAAAATATGTAGTGGCAGCACGCAAATAGCTCAATTTCCTCCGCCCGTGTATAGTCTTCTCCTGGCGCGTCAGAGCAGAGGAAATTATATTTAAAATATTAATAATTGTTGTATATGATGTGACGTGTCGAGTGGGCGTGACGGTTCAGTCATTACCGCGAGGCATTCGCAATTACAAGCGGCAACAGTCCCACAATAACAGTTATTTATGCACATATACATTGACAGATGGAAACATATGTATATTAGGTTTTTATTGAGCGCAAACAACGATCAATTCAGATGCCATGTGTAAAAGTGAAATTTTAAAGGTTGCCAGCAAGAAATTAACCGTTAGCTATGACAAGTCTAAAGCTAAATAGGTAGGTAGTAGAAGAGAGTATGCGAGAGAGCGAGAGAGAGAGCATGTTAATAAAGTGTGTCATTCAAATATTTACGAAAGCCTACGTAATAACAACAACAACAACAACCAGAAATGTAATCAAAGTAGAAATTCAATTCTGCTTGCCCGCGGCTGTATCAAAAGCTCAGCTCGCCCAGATCTCTCTCTCTCTCTCACACGCTCTCTTCATGTGCAGCAGCATCTGTGTTGATCATGCCACATTTTCGCTTTTACTTTCGACATCGATTCGTGTTGTTTACCTTTGTGATTACCACAGCTGCACCTGCTCGCATAGTTGTCATTCTCTAAAAATTTGCGCATTGTTGACCTTTAAAATATTTAATACAGAGAAAGAGAGAGAGAGATACTCCCTCGCTCTTTCTGCCACACTCCCACGTTGCGTTAAAGACCGTACAATATTGGGATTTTGAGAACTTTACAATGAGATAAGGATTTTCGCTTGCGATATTAGTCTAGGCAGTTTATTTCGAATATAAATGTATCCATTTAAAGATGCAATTAAGGTCAACCTCAAATCTCTGACCCTGTGATGATTACGCAAGTCCAGCATTCATTGGTCAAGAGGTCAACTATTAAAGACGAGCATAATAATTATGCATGAGCAAATTAAAAAAAAAATAAATAAATAAATAAAAAAAAAATAAAAATCAGTTGACAGTAACTAAAGCAGGGAAACCGCAAAAAAAGAAACAAATGTTGCAATGCAAAATCAACAACAACAAAATGTTGGCCAAATTAAAATGAGAGAAACACAAAATTGAATTGCCGTCAACTGCTGTGAGACAATGTTGCGMATTTGTGGCCCAAAAGGCAAAACGAAAACAGCAACAACAACATCAACAAAAACTGCAAATCAGCCATAAAGAGCATATACATGCATATTTTGTATACACCTAAATTATACGTATATACACACGCACACACACACGCCTACGTAGCGGAATAGGTATCAGCATGTCTGCATAAATAAAGTCCGAAAAAGCAAACAATAGTCGACTGAAACAAGCATTTGATTACGTTTGCTTCATTACAAGTCGTGTCGGCTGCTCTCTTTTCGACTCTCTCCGTCTCTATGTATGTATGTGTGTGTGTGGCAGCACTCTCTCTTTGTTAACAGCTGCTTGTGCAGCTTGCATAATTCCTAAAAAGTCCAGTGCATTGCAAAATCTGGTTTCGCTCATTGTCAAGGAGGGGCGGGAGAGAGAGAGAGAGAGGAGCGAACGCTTTGCTAACTGCCTTCCCCTCTCGCTCTCTTAACACACACACAAACGCAACCGCTGCCAGCTGCCAGCTGCTTATGCAATTTTCGCAAAGTGAAAACTGACATTGGAATTTTGGTAGTCACAGTCCTCTTCTCCTCATAACCTCAGCCGTCAAGGCAAGCATCATCAATCGGGCAGATCGCTACACCCAAAATGCGAGCACAGCAAACCGGACACAAAGTAGGCGCCGGCCCGCCGCACTGCGCATCTGAACACGGGGACGACCTGTGCCCTATCAAAAATTGAGCTTCAAAGGGACCTTGCAGTCCCTTCTGCCGAGAAGCCAAGCTGCCAAGCGATTAGCAAGGCCTATTGGTTTTCCTTACTCATTATGTTTTGGCACGATTCGCATGTGGCGGCCACAGCGCGAGTCATGGACGGCCGGGCATAACCGCTTGGGAATTATAAGGGCAGTAAAAGTGTTGAAATTCCCAACAGCGACGTCGTTGAACGTTGTCGTTGAGAGAAGTTGCCTTTGCTTGATTCGTTTAAATAAAGCGAATTTAATTTGGTTTTCTTTTTGTTTTCAGCTTTTTACTGAATTGTTCAAAATCTAGATATGGTCTGCTATAGCATAGTTGTAAATTAATAGAGCAGCGAGCAGCCGCATCAGTAGCAACAGCACACGCAGCTTAATTGTCCATTGTCTCTGATTGTTTCTTATCTGTGACAATTTAGTGCTATGATACACATATATTATATAGAGGCCACTGTCTGGCATGCAAATCTCTCAATTTGTTTTATTTTTCCTGGTTTATATATACATCCAAATCTAGTTGGTGTTTAACTAGAGATTCCAATACCTACATTCCTAAAACAAAATGCAAAAATGCAATAATTATATCATTAATGCCTATTGATGGAGTTTATTAGCTTGATTACTGCATATATCAGTATTTTGCATATATCAAGTAACTAAAAATACTTAGAACAACAGCTTAAAATCATTATTGAAATGTATAGCTTAAGTTTAAATAGTGTTTTAAAGTAGTATTACTTCCTGATAAGTCATATAATGAAAAATTACGTATAACGAAAATAACACGCCATATTCAAGCTCTCCCGCCTACACTGTTTCGATAAAAGTCTATCAATATTGATTTTTTTTTTTTTTTTTTTGTTCATTTCTTCGCTAAATTCAATGTGTTTAATTACAGATATGACTGTAAGGAATGCGAAGCTTAACTCAAGTGGACTTTTAAATGCATTAGACATTGGATGCAAATAGTATTGCTAGATTAGCTAGCTGACTAGGTAGTTGACTGATTGCTAGTACTTTTTACT